TTACCGATGAAAAAACCGACGATTACCGACTACTCGATTTTTCAAAAAAAGAAACTATGACATTAAATAGTCGGACAATCATTTGTAAATTTATATTGTCGAAACATTAGTCTGTTTTGGAATTACCGACACACATTTTATCTTCGAGTTTAAAACCGTTGGTAACATTAAAAACGAATGTTTTTCACATCATAACAGACAGATTGTGGCCGTAGAAAAAAACCTGAATTCCCGTAGCGTTGAAACATACTACACTCTAGCCAATTAGAATATCTATCGGACCTACTGAGATTAAAATGTTTTCCTTTGCTTCCAAATTTACTTTTAGGAAAATCAAGATTGTGTGTTTAACATGTGCCTCTTTGACATTGTATATTTGTCAAACTTGGTCTTGAACATTTGGATCATACTTTGAAATTGTTATGTGTAATGCATGATTCAAAGGAAGATTTTGAAAATCAATTCTTTTATTTTCCATTGATGGAAACACCAAACAACGTTGTTTTGGACTTCAATCTTCGTCTTTCTCATTGTTAATGACTTTGATGCTATTTTGAAAAATGTCTCCATAATTTAAATTCTGATAAAATAGATTAAAATTTTCTAAAATTTAATTAAATATTGAAATTTATAAACTCATATTTAATAAAAACTTATAAAGAACAACCAAAGAACTTAATCTTTTCTATAGCCCACAATTTTTAAATTTTTATGCTTTTTAAAGTTTGATATCATGGGAATATCAAATAAATAAATAAATAATATAAAATTTGTAGCATATTAACATGAAATAATTAAATGAAAAAAAAATATTAAAAAAACATAATGATTTAATTTTCAAAAAAATAAACTTAATACTTCTTGTGATGATATAAAGCACAATATGAGCTTGGAACTGTCACAAGTATGAGAGATGTTTTTATTAAGAAGCATTTACATACATACCTCCAAATTTTTTTCTATTTACATATCTAATGCCTAAACTTTATTTTTTACATTTATGTCATCTATGTATATGGTGGAGAATAGAAAAAAAAGATAAAAATGGTGGTTGGACCTTTAGTAAATGGAGTAGATAATTGATGGTTCCAAGAATTATTTTCTTAGAAGAACTTATAATTCTTTCACAATGATTATAGAGATGAATAAGAATCAATTTAGCTTAAAGTTTGATGTGGAGCAAGTTCCACATTATCAATTCCTTCAATAGAAATAGCTATAAAATATAATCGTATATTTTTTATCAATGAGATTTACATATTCATGTAAGATAATAGTCTCATTAATACATCCACCACGCTAAAAGACATAAAATATAGATTAGGGTCATAATTAAACAAGTCTTACACGAATAAAGAGTGTTAGCAAATAAACAAATTGCTTAGCCAATCAGTCCATCACTTACTAATGATGTAATAGATACTTTTCTAAGAGCAGAAGAAAGTGATATTGAAGAAATACATTGGAATGGCTCCATGAATACTTCATTATTGAAATGTCTATCATAAATGCCAACCTCTCCATGTGTGCATCTAAGAGCAATAAAAGGGTGAAGTTTTTTTTATTCTTCGCGTACCCTAATTTTGAAAACAATAATTCTTAAGATAAAAAGCATAAAGATATGCCCAATTTTATAATAAACATTATATGAAAAAATAACTATAATGTAGTTTTGGATGATATAATGATCTCATGCTCAAGTTCTTTTTGGTCTATGCATACAAAAGCTTATATGAAGATATTGCATCTATATAGAATGATTTTTTTTTTTTTTTTTTTTTTGAATTCAAGATAAGGAAATCTTGGATAAAAATTATGTCCATATGTTATATCTTTGAAAATATTTATGGATCTACAGGCTAAAAAGTTGGTGAAGTCAAGTATATTTGAGGCTTAGAGCTATTTATTAAAGTATGTTTACTTTTTGGATATTAAAATTAAAGATCATAAGTAACCTCAATTATGGCTTATTGGGCATATAATTAAAGAAAATTTTGTTAGGTGTAATTCAATTTAAAGTGAAAATGATAATATATGAAGTTAAGAGAGACCCTTGAAGCATCATTTTTTGAAATTATCATCATATTTTTTTAAGTTAATAAAAAAAATGGAGGCCATAATTGATATGTAGCTTGATACTTCAAGACATTTTAAATTTGTTTACTTCTCATTAGGTGCTTGCATTCAGACCATTTTAGATGCATATTGCCTAATGTTAAGTGATAATAAGATATTTCTCAATATTAGACATGCTACTAGTACTTGGCTCTTAGTTGTAGCATAAGATGTAAATATTTAAATTTATGGAATGATATTTGTAATTTTATGGCAAAAAGTTAATAAATTATGCAAATCCTTCATGTTTAGATCTCTACTATTTATTTCTACTCAACATAATAGTTCATATGCCTTAAATAAGTCCACTAAATCAAGCACAAATCTTTTACTTTTGGTGATATTACTTCTAAGTTTAAAATTACAATCATCTGACTTTCAAATTTAATAAATTTATAGTCAAACTGTAAATTTTGATATGAATCCAATTACATAAAAAGTGGTCCATCCAAATCCAAATGTGTTCAAAACAAGCACTTAAAGTATAATTAAAATTTTGAAATATTAATTAAAGTACAAAATGGTCTTCAAATCTTACATATTTATAGTCAAAACAAACAACATAGCAAGTATAATCAAATAAGCCCGAAGTCACTAAATTCTAAGGTTATTAAGAAAGATGAATGCTGAAAGATCAATCTCGTTATGAAAACCAAAATGATTCATTTGATGGAGTATTTTAATGGATATTAAGCATTATTCTTGAAAGAAAATAAATCTGCTTGTTGTATTCGATACACCTTCAAAAAATTTCTATCATCTGACATAAATCTTGAGGTAGAGCACGGATCTCTAGGAAGTTGTTTGAGCAAGAAAAATTCTAATTTCAATTAAAGTCATCAAGAACTCCACTTTCAACAAACTTATATTTAAACTGACCCGATCGAAGAGATGAACACAACAGTTCAAAAATCAGTCGAATCAGAGTCAATCAAACCACACAAATAATTTTAGGAGCTTTTTGGGCGTAACAGGAAGAAAAAACAAATTCCAAATATGACATGCTTATAGTCAATTAGAGCGTTTTGGCAAGGTGAATCCAACAAGCATAAGATTGTTCAATTCTGACATCCTTAAGACATTAAAATAATCATCAAATGTCATTTGATCAAGGGGATCACTTTGGGTTGTCCAATCAAGAGCGATCAGTATTCTATTCTTATTTTTTGACATAGACTCTATAAATAGAGCCCAACCCCCCTTATCAGAGGGGAATGAGACCCTGAGCAAGAAGAAGACCAGAGCCTGCAAAAAAGGGAGCTACAACCCAACATCTTGCATCGCAAATCCGGCCAACTCCGGCCCCGACAGCTGTCGCCTTTGGCCTCCACTGCCTCCGACTGTCACTGTCACTTCTTGTCGTCATCTTCGCCAAAGGTAACTTCTACGGCCTCCGAATGTTTCTACCTCTTCTGGCCACCCCGCCTTGAGCCGTTGTTGCCTCTGACCGACTCCTGCCGCCCCAGCCTCTGCTGAGTAGGCGGCCCCCGATCTCTGAATGTTTTATTCTATTTTCGGATTTTTCACGTAAAAATTTATGGCGTTCCCAACGCTAAGAAAATAATTTGTTACTCTACCATCATGAATTTCCTAGCATACATCAATATTTATTATTTTTCATGTCAACTTTATTTAGCTTTGGTATTTGTTACTAAACATCATGTTCAAATTGCTCTGGTCATTCAATATTATTGTAAATTTCATGAATCTTATTGGTGTTTCACCCAAATATTTGATTAACTCAGAGAAAAATAACAAGAGAAGACCTTAATAGCATTAGAAAATAAATATCCCATTACAGGTCATGGATTAAACTAAGAAATTAATCTCACAACAGCAGTGGATACACCACGAAGTTCACATTTTTGAACTATCTCAAGCATTACAAAAACAAAATGATCATGATATTGTAAATGCTATGTCTTTGATTCAAATATCAAAATGTAAGACTGCAAGTTATTAGCGATAATAAGTGGTAAGTTTTATTAATAGAGTATCTTTATTTTTTGATCAACAACGAATACTTATTCTTCGATCGTTGATAAAAAAAGTTGCTTGTAGACGCCATCATCGTAGAGTTAAAAGACATGACAAATTTACATTACTTTCGAGTAAAAATGTTTCACACAGTCATTAATATGCAATTTCAAGAGTTGAATTATCTTTTCACATCGGCAAATATTGATTTACTTTTGTTTTATAACATGCTTCATTTTTATATCGAGAAAGAAATATTATAAAGTATTGGAAATGATATCATTTTTCAATATTTTCATAATATGAAGACAATATGTTACGAGTATCAAGTTTTTAATTTATTATATTTAAGATTGATTCTCAATACCACTTCAATATCATTAATATCTGATGCCAGCAACTGCACTGAATCCGCACCTATCTTCTCCCACACGTAATATTCGTTCTTTTTTTTCTTTTTGGTTCTAAATAAATTTTAGGAGATGGTCTTTTTTTTATTTTTTTTAAATACAAAATTATTCTTATAATGTAGCAAATAATATTTTTTTATTTACATACATGAAATTTGTGTGTTTGACACGTGTTAATTTAGAAATAAAGGAGTAAAGGCTCATCCGGTACTCTGAGATTTGTGCATTTGAGCGTGCTTTTAAACTCACATAAAATTAAGAAAATAAAGTAAGTGTCTTTTAAATATAAAGAAACACGTAATAGTATTGTCCCGATACGTGACGGCGACACGTGCGGCCTCTGATACGAAGTAGCGGGACCCACAGTTCTACCAACGAGCATACGTGTTGATATGTGATTGAAAAAAATATGCTGTTCGATGGAAGTTAATGCATATTTGATTTAGCCCCTCATATATAAGGCTTATTTAAAAATCTTCGCAAAATCGAGAGCGAAATTCTGCTTCGAGTGGGAGATAGTAGCCGAAGGTAGCCGGGGAGGGAGATGTACGCTGGAGCGGCGGAGATGCAAAACTTCCGGCCTATGGACGGCGAGCTCCGGCGATGGTTTCCCGGTGATGTCGGCGGCTATGACTCTACTATGGTACTTTCTTGCACTGGTCTTCTTCTAGATTGCCTTTGGCCCTTGCTGCAATTTGATAAACTGGGAGGGAAATTAGTGGTGGCCAAAACTTGATCGCTTGTTGGCGGCGTTGGTCATTAGGTCTCCCGGAAGGGAAGATTGGTTTGGGTGGAAAGGGTGGAACGACACCCCAAAAGACAAATAATTGTTGTTTCGGGTGCCTAAAGAAATAGCCTGGGAAGGGGGGTTCTGATCAATCGATTGGTTAGCATGTATGAAGTTTTATTTCATGTTAAGTTGAAAAATTATGAGTTTTTGTGAGTTTAGCATGTGTTAGTTTGATATTCTTTACCCCTGAGGAAGGGAGTCGGGGTGGATGAATCCAATATAGTAATCCGGCATTTGCATGAAATCTGAATCGCCTCTCTTTTTAGATTCTTGTATCATATTAATGTCTTCTTTTTAGATTCTTGTATCATATTAATGGCTTGTTTTGTGAGTTGTTTATATTAAACGAATACAGTATAAATTCTGCTGTCTGCATCGAATCATTAATGCTTGACGTTATTCATACGTTAGAAGAATATGGTATTGGATGACTCTTGGATGCTTCATTTGTTTTTTTTTTTCCTCCATTTGTTTGAGTACCTTTTATTATACAGAGAGACATCACTACTATATTGACGCAGTAATCCTAGAACCTATTTGTTGAATTTGAATTTGTCCCTACTTACAGAATTCATGAGATCTTGACTGAATCCAGAACAAGAAGAAAGTTGGGAAAGTAGAAAAGGAGAATTTGGGTGAACCAAAAAGAGGTAAAAGATGGAGGATTCACACTGTTTTAGGGCTTCTAGAAGGTGTTTAAGAAGTGGATCTAGCGGGGAGTTGATTGGGGAAGAGCAAAGGTTGACGACGATTGGAAGTGGGAGGGCTGCTGAATCTGCTGATGGACAGCAAATTAGAGTAGTTCAGCTGCTGACCGGACTATGAACAATGATCAAACGGTAAAACAACAAAGTATGGGGACCGAGGAGGATCCACCGCCTATTTTTGGGCAAGCTACATAAATCACTTGCAAAAGTAAGAGGCTAGCACTCCCGAAGCAGAAATGAAATAAAAGTCTCCAAAATTTATAAAATCAGAACTGGAAATCTAAACAGCCAAAATCCAACATATATAAAAATCTCCTAATAGAAAATAGCCGAATTGAAGAATAGAGAAATAAGAAAGAATTAGAAAAGACAATAACAAAAGAACGGAACTCGTTGAGAGTAAAAAAAATCTTGGGCAATATGTTACTTCTGCGAATGTTGGATTCTCGTGTCGCGGAACATCAGAAATATCCTAAGTCCCATGTCACGATTTTTATCACTTTAGTAAAAAATATAGAGTTAAATCTCCTTTGTTAATGTGATCCTTTGATCCTGTATTTATAAGATTTTTTAGCACAATAAGGGAGGCTATATTTTAATTTACATGACAGCTTTTATAAAAAGATGGACTTGGTGATTAGACTATGCGTATGTTGCCCCCAAGCTTGGGAGGTCCTGTCTATTGGAGAAAGCCACTCTTGAATGAATGATTTCTTTTACTCCCTTGGACAAGTGCCTTTGGGGTAGCAAGTTCTCTTTTATTTCTCTCTCTCTCTCTCTCTCTCTCTCTCTCTCTCTCTTTATATATATATTCAAGTGTGCACCTTCTAAGCTTAGACTCTCTGATATGTTGAGCTATTTTTGGGCAAGTGGCTTTTAAGGTCCATGGTAAGCAATATTTAGGAGCTTAAATCATTTGATTTAGGTGAGTGGCTTTTATGTTTGGATTATCTGAGCGAGGAGAGTGCCCTATGAGCCTTGGGTTTAATTTAGTAACTTGAGTGAGTGACCATTGAAGGGCTTGAGGCAGGCTACCTTTTGAACCTCACATCCTTGAATCCTGACGAGTTCACCAAGTCTCCCAAACTTTAAACCGAATTGTATATCTGGATATAAATTTATATTTTTTATCATTTTGTATCTTTGGAGAGTGGCTTGAAAAAAAAAGAGAGAATTAGTTGAAATATTTATTTATTATTATCATAAATTTTTGGATCAACTAAAGAGAAATTGACAAGCTTCACCATCCTAGTAGATTTATTATGTTTGAAATAATCCTCATATTTAATACTTAAATAATGAAATTGATGTTATTGGTATGTATATGGGTGACTTTATTCATCTATAAATATCAAAATGTCTCTTCTATTCGCAACCTTAAGTTTATCTTTTTTTTATTTAGGCTACTTTTATTTTTTTATGATGGTCGAGTCATTTTCTGTAACGCCCCAGGTTCGGAAGGTAGTACACTCCGTGTCTAAAAGTTGATAAACCCTGGGTCCGGAAAATGGTACACCTTGACAACGGAGCATTTGATGAAATGAATTGGATATGTTTTGAATTCTCAAGAGAAAAATAATATGCAAGTAAAAAAACTAATGGAATGCAAATTATATTCTATAAATAAGAGTGCAACGTATTTAACTAAAAAGAAAACAAAACTGAATTGACAATAAGAGAGACAACTACCTAAATCCCAAAAAGGGAAAGACAATGAAACTAAAATAAATACTGAAAATATCTAATAGAAGTATTATAGAATTGGAAGGTCTGATCCTGTGTGACATACTCTACTAGTCGCTAAAGAAAATTTATCATACAAAAATATCAATGAGTTGGTTTAATAAATCAAACTCAGTAAATAACTACTATTTATTAAAACATAAATGACAAAGATTTGAGACATGCAGTATGAACAAAAAAATTTAAAAAAAAAATTGTTATTTGCATATATAACATCATAAGACAATAAAAATATGATAAACAAAATATGCCAATTTTTTTAAAAAACATGCAATTATTTCACATCCAATCAAGTCTTACCAATAAATAACTTAATAGTTATTTATTGTTTAATTTTTATTTATGTTTATATAGTCGGTTTTAATATGCGCTTTGAAACCAGGATTGTCGATACAAACCTAAGGAAACCCAATTATTTTTTGTAGATTCGTCACTCTGTGGGCCTGTTGACCTGGCTAGTCAATATCTGAAATGATTCTACCAACCTACATCCACTGTATACAAGCTTTCTACATTTTTTAACAAGTAAAATATATATGAAATATGCTACTTTTCTCAAACTGGTGATATGACAAATCTATGTGCAATTCATTAGTGTAAAGTGTTGGAAAAGGTTTAACCATAATTACAGAATTTAATCAATTATAAAGGGTGCATCTATAAAATAAGGCAGTTAATTACTTCATTATAAGTAATAAATTAAGCTATAGCACGTGTTAAATAAGAAATTAAAATGAAGGAGCAAGGTTATGACTGCAAATCCTATAAAATAACTATGAATCAAGTACAAACAGCAAAAATAGCGCTCATAACTAGGAATGTAGTTGCTTACCTTCATACCCGTGATCAAGGTGCTTGTCGACCATGCATTTTCTAGAATACCTGTGTTGAGCATGGTTGTTAAGATGGTGGCTCCGGCTCATGTAATTTTGGTTTTTAAAGAAATAGAAGTGATGTTGTAAACTTATATTTTATTTAAAAGTGGGCCCAATGAGTGTTTTAGATCCTTCATTGAAAGAAGGTTAAGCAGCAACAAGTTGTCCCTAAAGGTAAGGCCAATAAACTCCATTAGAAATTGTTTCTTAGGGGTGTTATAATTAGCCATGCCAAGTGGGCTTACGGTGGACATGTTTTGTACTAGGCTTTTAAGTCATCAACCAATAGAATCAAAGGTTGCGGCTCTCACAAATTTGTCCTTTGACTTTTATCCTCTTGTAAAAGATTTATAGTTGTGACTTATCAAGGTTCCACGTATTTTTTGGAGTTGAGAGTTTTTTCTTCATAGCTTTTCAATTAATACATTAGAGGCAACTTCAATGAGGCAGCTTGAAGATAATATTGGTGAGGATGTTGTCAAAATATTTGGAGTCCTTTGCCTAGGGCGACACGGGACTTGTGTACCATCACTCCATTGGCTCTTGAAAATCTTCGCTTTACAATTTGACGGTTGGGGTTATTGAGTAATGGTCTTCTTTGAATTCTATGCAGAAGCATGTGCATGTTCTTGAAGTTCAACTTTTTGATGCTAGGACAAGTATTAAGGAAAGAGAAGGCTCGCTTTTTTTTTTTTTGGAAAAAAATGATGTGCTTTTCCACCTCTCTTAATAAAGTTAATATCTCCATCTATCAAGCGGTTCAAGATTTAAAGGTCAATCTATGACCATTCACTGATTCTTGGAATCCTCTTGGTCAAGTCAGTTTTTTTGGTATTTTCTTCCCTTAGAACTCAAGGTTATCTAATATTTTAGCGAGAGAAGTTAAATTAGTTGTTTACTCTTATAGAAAAGAGGGCTAGGGTATGTATAAGCATGCAAGCATTCAAATTAACCTAATCCATTAATAGGCCATTTATATTAAGCTTCTAGAGTTTCAAATGATTAATCAAAATAAAAATTAGGTTTTCCCACGTTTATAGTAACAACCATTGCTCAAAGTTTGTGTGATTATCATTCGTGATTTGATTTTAAACAACTTACAACCGCTTTTAAATATTTTTAGATTTCAATCTCTATAGAGGCACGCAACTTATGGAGACCATCAATGTAATTTTGCAAAGACCCACAAACCTTTATGGGGACTCTTTTTAATTATTTTTCTTGTGTGTAAAACTTTTAAATTTTTACAGGGCATTGTAACACTTTATGAAGACCTGCAATGACTTTGTAGATACACGTAAACATTTATGGAGGTTTGTTTTACCTAAATAATATTTATCATTTTTACATAAGATTATAATTATATTTATTAAAATATATATGTTAATGATTGTAAGTATTGTCCTGAATAATATTAAGAAGTACTACATCTTATTGGAGACATAAATTAATGCTTGACTAGGTGATACCTAATTGTTCTTGTGCTAAATTGAATTAGCTTCCTGTGCTTGTTTGTTCCAAACTCCTT